GATAAGAGAATCTACTGTAACATTGAGAAGGTGAACATCACAGGACCTGGGTGCAGGCTAGGCTGTCTTTGTTATGGAGAGGGTAAAAAGAGGTGAGGAAGGGGGGGGGGCTGTCAGGGAAATTTGCAGGAGGGGATTGAGTAGGGTAGCAGAAGCAATGAATTTTATTTTAGACATGTTCATTTGAGCTTGAATGGCTTATCCAGCTGGATACATTCAACAGGAAGTTGAAAACATCCCTCAGGGGAGAGTAGAACTGTAGATACAGATGTGGAAACTTTAAAGATGGAGTTCTAAGGGTCATGATATTCTTTTTTTTTTTTTTTAGATTGATTTATTTATTTGACAGACACAGATCACAAGCAGGCAGAGATGCAGGCAGAGAGAGAGAGGAGGAAGCAGGCTCCCCATGGAGCAGAGAGCCTGATGTGGGGCTCGATCCCAGGACCCTGGGACCATAAGGGTCATAATATTCTTGAGAGAAGCAGTGGTCTCTTTTTCTACACTTTCTCCTTTAAAAGTCTCTTCTTTCTTAGTGTAACATTTTAGTTTAGGAAGTGGGAGGACATGATGCAACAAGAGGTCAGACAAGGAATAATCAGAGAAGTCAAAGAAGTTTCTGGGTTGTACAGTATCAGAGGAATGAAAGGAGAGGAGAACTTTAAAAGGTTGTGGGGGAGGTTGTGCTCGTCAACCTCCTCAAACATTGCAGAGAAGTTGGGTTGTTTGAATACTAAGCTAAGGCTCTCCCTCCACGATTCCATTGTGTCTGCTTAAAATTCCTGACATAGTACTTATCACATGACATTTTAATTGCTTATTATTCTCTGCCATAAGGTAGGGATAATTTGATAATGTTAATTATTTTATTTCCAGCAATTATCACTATTAAATTAGTGAATGAATGAATAAACACATAAATGAAAATGTCAGTTGTGACATAGTTTCAACAGAGAGGTGGATGTGAAGGCTAATTCCATTATCTAAAGAAAAAGAGTGGTGGTAAGGAGAGTCAGGGAGATAGACGAAGAGATATATAGCTCTTATCTTGTAATAAACAAGAAACAACCCCAAATACATAAATTTTTATAATTGTTGGCTTTCCTTGTGGTGATCAAAAAATGATCTGCCATTGTATCAGGGAAGGTTCTGATTTCAGGTGGGTAGGAGAAAGTTCCGCTAAGAATAACATTTCTGTTTATTTTGAGATTGTCTGTTGACCTGGTGGGACTTCAGAGAGATTTAGATGACAAGAAAAGCCTCTGACAGGTATCTATGAAAGCTGGATTAAAACAATAATATACACAATCAACTGTGGTCCAAGGGCTTGTAAACCAGTGCCAGATGGAATGCTCAGAGAACTGGGAACAGTGATCTTTAGGCAGCCAGGTGAGACTAATCTGGAGAAGCTTTAGGAAGGAGATAAATTTAAGCTGTTTTGAAAGGGGACTATTCTAGTCAATTGGCAAAGAGTCTTAGAGCACAGGATTAGGTATTTTAATTTGATTACTTAAAGTAATTTGGAGCCACCCCAATATTCTGAGAAGACTTGGTATAAACGTTGTTTGGAAGATGACTCATTTCAGTAGTTCTTAACTCTAGCTACATTTTAGAATTACTGGCAGAGCTCTGAAAAATCCTGATGCCCATGCTGCACCCCAGAAAAACTAAATCTAGAGGCAAGACCCAGATATTAGTGATGTTTGTTCATTTTTTGTTTTTAAAGTTCTCTGGATCACCCCAATAAATAACCAAAAGCAGAAGCACTGTTCTAAGCGTAGGAAAAATTGCAAGCAAACAAGAGAGATACTTGAATTAGAAAGGTTAGCAAGGTTGGCTGGAAATTGGAGTCTGACCTAGCTTAGTGAACAGGGATCAAAGGGGTGAGGCTAAATAAAGTATTCTGGAGGAAAGCTTGGTTGGACTCTGTGTTGCATGTCAATTGCAATTTTTCATAAAGCTATATTGCAGGAGCATCACTGCTCTTATTATGACGGATTGGTTAGAAAACGAGTAACTTGCTTTGCTAAAATTTGGGGCTTGTTCCTTAGTAAAATTCTCAGTTTCTGACATAGCAAAGCAGATCAGAAGAGAAAAGAAAACACAATCATATTAAAAGTATGGAAGCTTTTGTTTATATCAGAAGGAGGAAATAAAGCCAACGATGGATGCTGTGGAATTAAGAATCAAAATTCAGACTTTAAATTGAGTTATGGTTAGGAGATAGCAGGCTGTGGTAAGATTACCCCTCTAGAGTAACCTTAGAAAATGAAAAGTCAGATCATTAAGGACACTGAAGAGAAGGATTCCCCATCATTTTCAATCATAACATTCCCCTTTCTGGAATGGAAAAGTTGTAACAGATACGGGAAATGAATGGGTCATGTCTCAGAAATTATGACCTCTCAGAAGGGTGGGCTGGCAAGCAATGATGAGAGTTCCAATGTTCCTATGAGATCACTTTAAATTTATTCTGGCGTGTCCCACCTCTTAAGTTTAGAGGAAGGGCAGAATGTCATAAAGTGGCATATTACTTATAAAAAGAAGTAGTGTTTCATAACATAACCTGTATATGAGTATTTGATAAAATATAGATGCTGAAAGAGAAACTTCACTAGCAAGAGAATCCTGAAGAGAAGCAATTTAAGCCATAGATGTGAAGCAAAATCATTTTTCTGGCTCTGAGGATGAGACGGTCTTACAACTGTGATAAGCCTCTAATAGCTGCAGTCATTATTTAGAGAATAAACTTAGAATTGTAAATAAAATATAATTGTTCTATATTCCCCCTCTCAAATGCTGGGTCCTTGGTACATGCAGGAATAAGGGAGTTAAGCCAGGGCTGGTCCTACCTGGAAGGCAGTGAGGTGTACATGTGATTTGAGAGGCAGAGACTCCCCAACTCTTCCTCGCCAAAACTTCCTCCTATTTGCAGGGTATGGAGGTAGAGTAGGAAGTTAGGACCTTGTTTCCAGAAGACCCTTGAGAAAATGAAAGTGCACTACAGGGATCAAAAACACACCCCAAAATGACATTCATCCCCTCCCTCCCAGAGGAGCTTCAGGCACCAGCTGGACAGGAGGGGATGTGGTAAAATTAGGGGTCAGAAGGGAGAAGAGAATAAAAGTTCAGAGGCCTGGGTAGGGAGGGTGTAGCAGGAATGAGCCACCGGGTATCTTGTGGGAAGCAAATGAACCTGGGGGAAGCAAGAAGAGGAAAAGCAAGACGTGAAAGTTATGCTGAGTCTCTGAGAAGAGAAACCTCCTTCTTCCATTCCGCCTCCCCCTTGCCTCACTCTTGGGCACACCACCCACTGTACTTCATTTCATCCAGCTGGCCTGACTATGGGGGGGGGGGGCACCACATGTGCCCAGAGCTACTCTGTTCCCTTTAGTACATTCAAATCTCTGTAAATGCTTCCAATGTCTCCTCCTCAGGATAGCTGCTCCAGAAAAGAAGGTTCTCAATACTCTACAAACTCCCTCTGCATGTTGGTTTGCAAGTAATGATCCTACTGGAAAAGTAAACTAATCTTTGATGCTTGGTTGAGGCTAAGGAGAAAAAAAACACTTTCTTTAGGGAACGAGGCCACCTTAACCCACCTCATCCATGGTATTCTGCCCCTCTCTTTCACGCTAACCACACTCACAGAGAGGGAGGAACCTACACAGTTTGAAACTCCATCTCTTGAGTCCAAAGGATCATCATGCATCCACTCATCCTGCAAATGTTTACTAAATCCTGTACTGCTCTTGCAGCACAGTGCGACAAGCCCAAGAGAAGCCAAGAAAGACTGCATAGAGGTCTCCTGATGGGATATTCCTCATTTGTCAACTTCTACTTGCACTTTCTACAGCCACTGTTTGAAAGGACTGCAGCAAACATTTTGCAAAATTTAAATAACATCTTCATAGTTTCTCCGACTTCAGGAAGAACACAAAAGCTTTTTCAAAAGTCTCCAATCACAGGGCTGACAGTTCACAGACATCTTTGGGGATCAGGTAGCCCTTAAAGGAATTGGAAGTTCTCCTATTGCCTTGCTGTGTTTTTCTAGCCAGAGTCTTTGCTGCACTGCATTGCTCAGTTCCTTTCAACTGAAAAATTCAATCTGCGCTCCTGTTGAAATGTGTCATCTCACCCCCGGACACTCATCACAGTTCACCATACTCCACGCCGAGCCAGAGTTGAGGTGGCAAGGATGGCGCAGTCGCCCCTTCCGAGGTCTGGGAAGGCCAGAGGTTGGGGAGGTGCTGAACAACTGGTGCCGTGGGAATGTCCGGCAAAGCCAGATCTGGGAGTTCCACGGGGTAGTCGGTGCTATGAGAAGAGCTCAAGTCCGCCCATTTCCTCGGGTCTGAATCCCACTCTCTGGTTGGGCCTTTGGGAGAAAATTCATGAAAGACACCCTTGGCGTTGTAGATCCTGCCAAATACAGAGCAGAACCAGGAGTGTGTGTATGCAGGGAAGGGAGGAGATTCTCCAGAGGCTTTTCTTCGCGTCTGTTTATGCCTCGTGCCCCGCGACTGGGTTCTTTGAATGTAAACTCTTGGAAACGGCAGGGAGGGGCGTCCTTTATGCCCCATAGAGTACCTCGCCTATCAGTAAATGTTGAATGACAGCGGAGATTACGGCCGGAGCCCAGGCGCGGATTGGGGGATTGGGTCTGACCGACCCTCTCGATTCGCCGCCCGAGCCGGGAGACACTGGGAGAGGCCGCCGGGCGCTGGCGGCACAGTCAGGCCCCGGCGCCGCCCGCGCAGTCTTCGGGCGCTCGGAGGGGGGCTCCACCTGGCCGCCGCGCCGCGGCCGGAGGGGCGGGGCCGGGCTTCGCGGAGGCGCTGACGCCTCCTCGTGCCCGAGCGCGCGCTCCTCGGCGTTCGGCGCACGCGCGGGACCTGGAGGGAGCGCGCCCCCGACAGCGGCGGCGCGAGGAGCAGGAGGGGGAAGAGCAGGAGGAGGGCTGCTGAGGGGAGGCTGGCCGAGCGCGCGGTGGCGGCGGTGGCGGCGCCGGCGACCGGAGCCGGGGCGGAGTGGGGAGCGAGGGAGGGGGGCGGAGGGAAGGGGGCGGAGAGGAGAGAGAGCCACATTTCCAATTCGGAACTACGAGCCCCGAGTTTGTAGATGGGGCTGCTCGGCGGCGCCTGCGGCTGAGCGAGAGCAGCAGCGGCGGGCGCAGGGGAGCGGTGGCGGCGCGGAGGCGGCCGAGGTGCGAGCCGGTGAGTTACTGCGGCCCCCACGCTGCTCGGGTAACGGTCTCGCCGCGCGCCCAGGCGGTCGGAGGGCGCCCTGTTGCTCGTCGCCGTGCGCCACGCGGGGACCCCGGTCCGCCCCGCCCCCTCAGCACCTGGGCTTGGTGAGCTGGGGACCGGGGCGGCGGAGGCGGCGCGGGTGGGGAGGGCTGCTAGCGTGCCAAACCCGGCCCGGCCGGCGCAGATGGGGTGCGCTTTGCCGGGCCCCTGACCCCGGGGCTGCGGGAGGGAGTGCGGGCGGGCCAGAGAGCGGCAACGTGTCTGGCCCGTGCTGCCGGCCGCCGCGCGGAGGCCGGCGCTCCACGCGGTCCCCGGCGCGGCCCCGGCTGGAGCAAGGCTGGGGCTGGGGGCGCGTGGGGCCCCCTCCGGGCGCCTGGAGCCGTGCGCGGGCGCCGACACCCTCTGCGGCGGGAGTGGCGTTTAAGGCATGAATGGAGAGCGGCGCCGGGGGCGGTAGTTGCTGTGACTGACACCTTTGGGGTCAGTGCCGAGAGGGGGCGATTCAGCTGGCTTCTGGCGTGCTCCCGAGCCCCAAGTTCTTGGGGGAGGAGGCTTTCTGCAACTATTGCTGCTACTTCCGAAGCACGAGACTCATTTGGCCAAAGTGGTTGTGGGCCGAGCACACGCTGCTCCGGAGGCGTTCGCCGCTGAGGCAGTGTTTTCGATCCTGGGTACATAATCTGGAACCGAAAAGGTGCGGGGCCTATTTTTTTTTTTTTAATTTTTTTTTTGGCGGGGAGGGGGGCCGGGGGGGGGGTCGCTTGAGGGATCATACGGCCGGTATGATGACAGGCTGTGGATTGGTTGGTGGAGATTATATATATATATATATATGTATATGTATATGTATATATTTCTTTTTTTTTTTTTTTCCCCAGAAGGACTTTTTAACACTTTACTGGGAGTTTAGTCTCAATCTCACGAGCTCCTGGGATTACAGCCGGAGATTACATCCGTTAAACTTCTTCAGATGGGGCATGCATTTATGTAAGGGGGTTGCGGGCAGGCGAGGAAGGGAATTGAAGGCTGATGGGGAAGCTCAGAAAATTCTCCGCATTACTTATAAACAGCCTGTTAAGGTCAAGCTAGCCACGTTTTACTCTTTCCTACGGCTTTGGGGATTGTTAGTATTTTACTTTATGCTTCCTAAATTGGTCTTCTTGTAATATGGCTTGGAACATTTGAGGTGTGTTAAAATGCTCTTCAATTGGAGTATGATTTAGCATCCATTTCTACCCGTCAAATCTTTCAAATCGCCGTTTGGAAACTTATGTATGTCGACTATATTAGGCGAGGTAACAGTGTTATCAATGCAGAGATAGTTGCGGTACAAACGTATAACAACAGACCTCAGGTAATAGTGCTTATTTTAGGTACCGACTGTGCAGTTATGGTAAGGTATCAGGCCTGATTATAGTAATATGTTCTGAGGCCTCATTACAGTAAACAAAGAACTTTTATGGGTTGTGTCATTTTGAGGTCATTTGTATCTGAAATCTATCATATTTAAATACATGTTTAAATACATGTTTGCACAACATGTTACTTTTTAAGGTCCTTTTTTAATTTTAGACTAGGGTTACATAATATTCAAATGGTAACACTTATATTCTGTTTTGTCCTTTGGGGTTGCACACTAATTATCTTTATGAAAAAACATCCGTGTGTGTGTGTGTGTGTGTGTCCTTTTCCAATTGATACTACTCAGCTCCTTTCTCACCTGGAATTTCAAAACTGAATTATTTTACATTTAGATTAAATAAACACTGGAAGAATTAAGATGCTTAAGCAACTCTGGAAGCGCTATATAAGAGAAAATCATTTTTTTTTTCTTTGAGCCAACTGTTGGATTTTTTAAAAATGAATCATATTTTTCTTAAACATTTGAGGGAGCAGTTTTTTTTTTTCCCCCCTGAGTCTCATTTCAGGCTGAAATTGTTGGAGAAGACTACACAGTCTGCTTTTCTCCCTCCTTTCCCCTCCCCCCCAACCTTTTTAGCTTGGGATAACCGAGACAACCACAATTGTGTTACCTTTTTAAAAAGGCTCTTTTTAAATTGAAGTTGAGTGCCTACCATCTTTTTCTAATGTTCTTTACCACTTAATAATGGATGTTTAGAAGACAACAGATGTTTTAATTAAATGCCTTTCACATTTTTGACATTCAAGCTTTGTTAAAAGCAAGTAACAGCAAATTATTGCTGAGAGTTGCAAATAATACAGGGTTAGTGCTAGTCAAAGGTTATCTAAGTTTAAGAACACCAAGAAAATAAATATTAGAAGAAACAAGAGGGCTCATTTGTATATTTGACATCACTTACTGTATTATAAATTATCTAGTTCTAGGTGGTTTTTGAAAGTGTTTTGCAAAGTAGACATTAGGTATAGAGCACTGATAATTTTCTTTTCCAAGGCAGTTCATTTGGTAAGTGACTAAATTTGCACCAGAACTCTAATTCAGGTAAATGTGGTTAACTTGCAAGGGATGTGCTGATACTTACTTCAGAAGAACTGAACATCTGCCTGTTTTAGATAAAACAAATACTGGGCTCTCTGAAGATATTGTTTATTCCTTTAAAAATATATGCTGAGAAAAATATGCTAGTTTTATTTTACCTGTAGGTTCTTTCCTTCCAAAAATAGGCTTCACATTTATGAATACCATAGGAGCAGATAAGCATAAAAGATCTCTTTACTGATAGGTTGCTAGTATTGAATTAAAATTTTTATTTCTTTCTTGTAGGGACCAGGTTCTGTATAGTGTATTTTTGGTCAGTCCCACAGAAGCTGCAATGATTTCCTCACTCTTGTTATTTGTCTGTGACCACTGGGGGGAGACTTTATACAATTTAGATTGACCGTATCCCTCCCTTTACATACACTCGCTGCTAATCATCCCTGGGCACTTTGCCAAATGCTGGATCTGTGTTGAGGAGGATGCACTCAGAGAATCAAGTCTTGATCAAAGTGTCTAGTGACTTCTATTTTTTTTAACTCACACCACCACTCACAAAGTACTTCTCTTCATAGATTGTATTATTAACGTTCTACTTTTTGGTCTGTTGTTACGTGAGCTAACTAACTATCTCACATAATGAAAGATGAGATTCATAAATACATTAGAGCTTTCAAAGACTGACTTTACTGACATTAATCTTAGTAGCAGTGTAAGTTTAATCACTTGTTTAGTGTACACAGATATTAGCTGTCTGAAAAGATCTGGAGATACAGGTGTGCTATATGTGAACCTCTTCAAACAGATTGGGCTTCTATTTTAAAAAGCTTTCAGAGGAAGAGGTATTACAGCATCCCTTGTACCCAATTTTACCACAAAGGGGAAGTTCTTCCTTTTTCATAATAGTAAAGATAAGATTAAGACTCACAGCTTGGGGCGCCTGGGTGGCTCAGTGGGTTAAAGCCTCTGCCTGCTTTCGGCTCAGGTCATGGTCCCAGGGTCCTGGGATCAAGCCCCACATCGGGCTCTTTGCTCAGCAGGGAGCCTGCTTCTCTTCCTCTCTCTCTGCCTGCCTCTCTGCCTACTTGTGATCTCTCTCAAATAAATAAATAAAATCTTAAAAAAAAAAAAAAACACACAACTTTATTGACCATTATATCATGGCTATTCTTTTTTGTTTTGTTTTGTTTTGTTTTTAAAGATTTTATTTATTTAACAGAGAGAGATCACAAGAGAGAGAGAGGAAGGGAAACAGGCTCCCCGCCGAGCAGAGAGCCCGATTCGGGGCTTGATCCCAGGACACGGATCACGACCTGAGCGGAAGGCTGAGGCTTTAACCCACTGAACCACACAGGTTCCCCAATCGTGGCTATTCTTAAAGTCAGAAGTCTGGTTTCCACTTTTGGCAATGTCCAGTTGAATAATAGTGAACTCAGTAAACCAAGGATATTATGTTTATAGTAACTTAGAAGTTTTGTATTCTTTCATAACTAAGACCTTTGTACATTCCTGATCATAGTAGATAGGATAGAATTTGGAATAGTTTCTAACGTTTTATCATCCTAAATTCTTTAAAAATCGCTTTTCTTTTTTCCTAAATAAAAAATAATGTTGATGGTATACCAGAAATGATGTTATTTTCCTTAGGAAATGTTCCTTTCTAGCTTACTTCAAGATTGTGTCAAATACTTGGGGATGGTAATTTTTAAAGGCCTGTTTTGTTAAAGTTATCCAATGCAAGGCAATATGAGAATGAAAGATAATATACTGTGTTTTTTTGTAAAGCTCAAGTTATTCACATCTTTTTCTACTGCCTACTAGTTGATATACATGAACTGATCCCTACTTGACTAACTTAATATCTTTTCCTTTTAGATTACTCCCTGTTCACTATATTCTATCTTCATTGCCCTTTTTGTCCCTCAGAAATGTCAGGGTTTGTTCCTAACTTAGGACTGTTCTCTCTGCCTGGAATTCTCTTCCTAAAACATTACATGGCTAGCTCCTTTTCATCATTTCAGGTTTCAGTTCAGAAATGATCTTCTCAGATAAGCAGTATTCTCTAACCACCCGTTTAGAATGACACTATGTTTATTTCCTTCTGTCTCATTACCTTTAAAAAAAATTTCTGCAAACCGCTTATCACTATCTCAAATTGTATTGTTATATTATTTCATTGTCTGTCTACTCTCAGTAGAATAAGCCCCATGGAAACAGCAATTATAGCCCTTTTATTTAACTATATTTCAAGGACTCAGATATGTTCCTGGCACACAGATGTCATTAAATATTCCTTTTTTTTTTTTTTTTTTTTTTAAATATCTGAGGTTCTGTCCTTCCTCAATTTCAGTAAAGTGTTCCTTTATGGAATGATATGAATAGATGGTAGTTGTAGTAAGTAGGCTACTTTTGGGTCTAAGTAAAGGTAAGACATATTGTAAAGATGCAGGGAGTATCTGATGGAATCCAAAGGTTGGGACTCAGGATTTCATCCAGTGCCCGCATGATACAC